GTTCTAGTTGAGATGGTATAACCCAAGAGGCAAAATGACGCTTGCTACTGTTGTTGCGAGTTGCCATTCGTTCTACTAAACCATTAGTCAAATGCCATCATGCCTTCTGTCGTTATTACACAAACAAAAATCTCTTTACTGTTACTAGTGTTCGTGCCTCAATATGGCTACGCTCGTGAAAGCAATACAACGAACTCAAACGCGTCTTCGTTCAATGTTGTCAACTAATATCTGGATTATGCGAATTTTCCTCAATTCTCCGGAGAAATTTTCATAAAAATTTGAAAAACCCGGAATTCCGGGAAAATCCGGAGGACTTTCATCTCTGAACACTACTGCCTTCTGACAAGAAAACAAAATGGATCCTGAAGGTCCAAAAAGTCACAAAAACTCACATCAATCCTGGCCAAAAAAGATATTAGAGGTTTATTGGGCCATTTTTAAAAAAATTCCACTTCCAGTGATCTAGTACCTCAACTTTCTAGTCCTCCAATTTGGCCCAGGCCGCGAGAGCATACGTCCAAGAACACGTTAGAGAAACATTTGGAATGTCTCGCAGTTATTTGGAGTTGAAGTATTGAGCCAAAGTTGCCTTATCAGAGGAAAGGGCGCTCTGGAATGTCCAAGTGTACAGACAGAGCTGCTGCCACCTCTGGGTCCAAGTCCACGCACAGGGACTTCAGCTGCACCAGTAAACACACCAGCAGAAAGATTTTGAACAAGGAGAAGAAATCAAAAGAAGCTTTTGGTGGGTGGGTGTGTGCGTGCGTGTCAATTACCTGCGTGATGTGCCTGGAGAAGAGAGTGGAAGCGGGCATCTGAGAAATGGCCCTCAGCAAGAAGATTTTGGTACGGCTCAGAATTTGCCCAGACTCCATCTGATATCAATTTCACAGATATAAAGCAAGTGAATTTCATTTGAATTGAGCAGGGTGGATATGGCTTGAGGCTTGGTTACCTGACTTCCAAGGGTGGCAGTGACAGAGGACCCATCCAAGAAGAGCTGCAGCAGACTGATGTAGCAGGAGACAGCGGTGCTGAGAAAGCCTGGACAACGTGCAGCTCTTTGTTGAAGCTCGGGGCTCTGCTGAAGTAACAGGCTTAAACACACACACACACACACACACACACACACACACACACACACACACACACACACACACACACACTATGTTCACAGCAAACGTAACGTTATCAGGCATGTCAGGGCTACATTTCCCAAGAAATTACCGTATTTTCACACCTATAAGGCACCATTAAAAGTCTAAGATTTTCTCCAAAGTGGACAGCACGCCTTATAATGCGGAGCGTCTTGTGTATGCGCTGAGTACCAAAACCTGACTGAGAGCCGACACGCTGTTTATATAGAGAAAAGGCGGAAGTGAATGAGGACAGGCATGCGGCGAAGAAGTCGGCCAATCAGTGAAGTGTGGGCGTGTATATATAAACATAAATAGAGAGAGAGAGAGAGAGAGAGAGAGAGAGAGAGAGAGAGAGAGAGAGAGAGAGAGAAAACGCTGGCGCTGGCAAAGCCGGCATCATTTCTGTGGAGCCACAAGGCAATGAGAGTGACTCTGACAACGAGAGGGAACCCGGCGTTTTCGATGGATTACCGGTAGTTGCACAGGAATTCAATTCTGATACAGAAGATGAGGACTTTGATGGATTTCTGGGTGATGATTGATCAAAAAACGTGAGTACATTGTAAGCTGGCTAAATAAAATGCAACCGAACTCAGTTTTGCTTCCGTTGCCTTTTTAAAAACGTGTTTTTAGCGTGTATCCGTATGTATTAGCATGCTACCGTATGCTTCAAGCTAACGTGTCTTTAGCATGCGTGCACGCATGCCGTATGTTTAAGCTGGCGTATGTTTTACCACTGTAAAACTGCGCCCAATAATACAGTGCGTTTTGTCTATGTGTAAAATACCAAAATAGCACCCGTTAGTGAGACTGCGCCCAACAATATGGTGTGAATGGTCGTGAAAATACGGTACTTATTTTAATAATCACAATATTCTGAATACTAACCTGTAGAAGACCCACGGCATCAAGTGATGAAATCGGTTTGACGTCACCAAGGGAAAACTGTGGTAAGCACCTTTTTCAGCATCTAAAGAAAGTTAGATTCAGTATATTTTAAAGGGTATTTACAGCTACCGGGATAGCTCACCAGGAGTAAAATAGACGCTTTCACTTTTTCTAAGCATTCCACAGAAATGGCATTTAGTGTTTCAGTAGAAATCTCCTTTGTAACACAGTAGAAATATGTTAAAGATCAAACAAACCTCAAATGCTTTCATGTTCTACAAGTAGCTCTCACAGTGTCTTTTTTTGTTTTTAACAGTAAGACTGGTGTTCAGAGAAAGAAAATTAACCTTTTACCATTAGATGTAAAGATTAGTAGCCAGTCTGCAGAATCCACCAGCACAGTCAGGCCTTCTGTGCAGAGGCTTAAGGCTTTCTGATGGCAGTGCTCCTAAGAAACAGCAATAGGTGACATTACAAACTCAAGAAGGGGATTCCAGAAAGGAAACTCAGCAAACTTTGGGCGCACTTCATAAATACGTAAATGGAAGATGTTAAAAAAAAATAAAAATATCATTCAAGGCAAGGCAACTTTATTTATATTGCACATTTCATACACAACACAGTAAATTGTCCCAAGGTGTGAGTGTGAGCGCAAATGGTTGTTCGTCTCTGTGTGCCCTGCGATTGGCTGGCAACCGGTTCAGGGTGTCCCCCGCCTCCTGCCCGAAGACGGCTGGGATAGGCTCTTGAGATGAGAAGCGGATCAGAAAATGGATGGATGGATGGATTTCGTACGCAGGGCACCTCAATGTGTTTCACACAACCAGTAGAACAAATTCTAAAAGTCTTAAACAGAACAGCTGAAGACGTTCACAACACAGAGAGAACAAAGTGGAGAACAAACTAAAATTTCGAAACAAAACAACCAAAAAAGCATACATTCACAACAATTAGTTGTAACCAAAACATTAAAAGTCATTTAAAAGCAAAGGAAAGAAATGAAAAAATAGCTTTTTGAGATTACTACGGGTGTATGCACACCTGCATTGCTTGGTCCACTTTAAATGGACCAGGCTTCGTTTCCCACACTGTTCCATGCTTATACAGGTGTAAATAACCACAAATGAATGCCGGTCCAAAGCAAAAACAAGCAAACCGAGACTCACGTGCCTTAGTTTCAATCGGAACTAGCCCTGGTTTGCTTCTAGAAGTCAAGCTCAAAGGTCATAATGATGTCATTAATCAACAGCGATTTCTTCACTATCCATCCATTTTCCGATCCACTTTATCCTCACAAGGGTCGCGGGGTGTGCTGGAGCCTCTCCCAACTGTCTTCAGGCAGTAGGGGGGGGACACCCTGAACCGGTTGGCAGCCAATCGCAGGGCACACAGAGACGAACAACCATCCGCGCTCACACTCACACCTAGGGACAATTTCGAGTAAACAATTAACCTATGGGGCATGTTTTTGGAAGTGGGAGGAAACCGGAGTACCCAGAGAAAACCCACACAGGCGGGGGAGAACGTGCAAATTCCACACAGGAAGGCCGGAGCTGGAATCGAACCCGGTACCTCTGCACTGTGAGGTCAACACACATACCACTCGATCACCGGGCCGCCCTGATTTGTTAACTAGCAGTCTAATATTGAACTGAACATTGGAAGCCAGTCGTTTTGCCCCGTGTTTATTCAGATGTACTCCGTCATATGTGAAAACATGCAGATTTTCCACCAAAATTGAAAAATTGTCAACAGGTCTGTGATTGGGTCAGGAAAAAAAATGCAATTTGCATGTTGGTTCTGTAGATCAGGGGTCCCCAACCGCCGGTCCGCGG